GAATGTAAATCTTTTGTTGAACATTCAACATCAATAAAAAAATAACAAATTCCTCTAAAAAATAAAATATAAATTATAACAACTATATATATATATATTTGTTCTATACCGAAGACCATATTGTAAACAAGGTTTTTCTTTACCTAACCAATAACTATCCGAAATAACAACATAATCAACATCGGAAAGAAATGTATTTTTTAATGATTTAAGTAAATCTTCAAGACCTTCACTACCATATTCTTCCATACTTTCAAGAACAAATTTAATATTAACAGGAAATGATTGATTAAGTTTTTGATATGCTTCAATAACATTAAGCCAACTTAAAACTGGACCTTTATCATCAGTTGAACCACGGCCAAATAATTTTCCATCTTTTTCTGTTAATATAAATGGTTCTGTATCCCAACCATCAGAAATTTGTGCTGGTTGTACATCTAAATGACCATAAATACATACAGTTTTTTTTGTTTTATCATTTCCATATGTAGCTAAAATAACATCTGGTAATTTAATTTTTGTTCCATCAGCAAGTTTTTGTTCACCAATATCAGCTAATTCAACTTTAGCACCTAATTTTTCTAATAAAGATTTTGTCCATTGAACCATACGAACAACTTCAGGTCGATTATCAGGCCATGCTGATACAGATGGAATACTAACTGCATCACTTAATCGTTGAATATAATCTTTTTTATGATCATCAAAATGTCTATTCAATTAAAACAAAAAAAAAGAATTACTATTTCATTTTTTTTTCTTTTTCAACTTAAGATATCTTACTTAAATAAACGCTTATTAAAATCTTCGTTTGACATGATTTTTCAATTGATAGATGAAATCTTTTTTTTTTATCTGAAAAAAGAAAATATCAAAGAGCAAGTAAAAATTTGATCGTGAAACAAGTTTTTATAAGTCAGTTTTATTTGCATATGATAATAGTCTTACATATGAAATGGTCAAAGTTTCTATAAGATAAAATGAAGTGCACTGTTAACAATAAAGAAAAATGACATATTCCCTAGAAGTCGTTAATGCTTAGTTTTTGCTCGACATTGTTATTGAAGATATTACTTCAAAAGAGTACATATATATATATCGCTTCATCTACCTCAACAATAAAATGACCTTCATGTCTCTCGAACATTCTATTGAAGAAAGAATAAATATCAGAAGAAATAAATTATCAAGACAGATATCATACTAGAATAGAAAGAGAAAACCGTAAATTATAATGGATAAACTTGTATTAGCACAAGTCTCTAAATATTGAATTGTAATAATGATGATTATATGTCAGAAAAAGATCAACCAAAAATCTAATATATTTATCAAATTCCTCAAATTTTACTATCCAACGATATCTGAAACTCACAATAATAACAATGAATATACTTGCTTCTATTGTATTACAACGACAAAAGTGTCTAACAAGTAAGAAGAATAGTTAAATGTCGAAAATAATAAATCCTTGACAAACAACTTTGTCTAAGCTTTAGTCAATAAAATATAACACAGTGTGATGTATACATACAAAACAACAGTAAGAATGCAATTTATAATAACCAAAACAAAAAAAAAGAAAGAAAAGGATTAGAATTTTCGACATTTATCCACCAAAAATAAACCTTTATCTTCATTATATTTTTTCAATAAGCCATCGGAAATAAAAAGAAACGTTACTTTAAATTGTTCTTTTTTTTTAACGAACAACAGAGATTATCCTTGTTTTATATATATATATAAAGTGCCACATTTTCTCTGTTCACCAAAGCACAGTTCAGTTCTACAAGAACCACGCTAATACGAATATGAATAAACAAAATCCAATAATGTATACAAAAAAAAAAGGCATGAAAGAGAAAAGAAAAACATCTCTGTATCTAAAGCTATATATATACAATTTAACAAAACTAAAATGAAACAGAAAAAAAAAACGGAACTGATTTTGTTTTGTTAATAAACATAAACCGAACGAAGCCCAACGATCAAAACGAAACGAATGCAATAGTCAAAATATGTTTGAGAGATATCTATGGCACAAAAAAAACAAAACAAAACTATACAATAAAATGTTTTATGTTTGTACACAACGACGTTGTCGATTGCCAAGAAGAATATTATCAAGATCAAGACCTGAACCAAGAAATGATTTTTTATTTTTATTTATTGAAGATATTTTTGGTTTTTTTAATGAAATTTTATTAATTTTTCTTGGTTTTATTTCTTCAATAATTGTTGTTGATTGTATTGGTTTTGTTCGACGTAATTTTACACGTTCTTCAATAGATAATGATGGTAATATATCAATTGAATCCATTAAAGATATATTTGATAATTTTGTTTTATTTCGATTTATTGATTTTTTCTTTTTATTACCTTGTGTCGATTTGATAACAGTCTAAATTTAGAATTCATTTTTTTAACCTCGAAATCATTAAAAAAAAAAAAATATCCGATAATGTATCTCTTTCGTTTTGTAGAATACTCTTATAAATCAAAAATAATAATTATTTATTGTCTGTATTCAAATCATTAGACATACATAATAAAATTATAATGATATATGATATTATTTTTTTTTATTCTTATTTAATTGATAAAATGATTTATTCTTCTAGTTTACAATTCTAATATTGATGAGAAATGATGAATAAATATATAAAATTACTTATTTTACATACTTTTGATGAAATTTTATTATCTTGTTTTTTTCCTAATTGTGAACGTGAATTAGTCATAAATGTTCGTGTAGATAAACGAGTACGATGAGATTTATTTGTTCGTGTATTTATATTTATTGATGTTGTTGGTAATGATATTGGCATATCATTTGAATTTAATAATATTAATGAATTATTTTCTTTATCACTTGAACTACGATCAATTGATACTGTACGATTTGTTGTTGAGATTGTTTCATCTAATCAAAAAAAATAAATAAATAAATAATTATGAATTATTTTAAATAAGTTATTTATACTTGTATGATTTGATGATCTACGATGTTTTTTAGTTTTTCTTTCACGTTGATTTAATGGTAAATCATCATTATCATCAGATATTGGTCGTAATGAATATGAATGATCAGTAAGAAATGTATAATTATTTAACATTATTATAATATTAATACATTGAATATATCAATAGATTATCAATTATCTGATATAAAAAATATAATGAATAAATAAATTTTTTTTTTGTTTTTTTTTTCTTCTAGGAAATAAATGATTTGATCTGACAGATATGTTTAAATAAATAAACAACAATTATTATTAGGTAGTATTCTTACATCATTTTTTTTAATTGGTTATATTTTATTCATTCATTTTATTTAGATTATATATAATGAATTAATAATAAAAATGATCTTTCATTTAATTCTAAATTTTCTTTTTCAAAATTTTCTTTATTTTAACAATTTTCAAATGTATAATAGTGACATCTGCTTTTTTTTTGAACTCATCTCATCGAAGTAACTCGTAGGAGTGATTATTCGTCTTTTCGTAGGAAAAATAAAACACTTAAAAAAGAGTCAACATGACTAAGATTGGTTTTCGAAAAATGTTTTATTATTATGATTGTATCTTTTCCTGAAACCTTAGCTCTATTGCTAAATAATAGATTTAATTGTTTTTGGAGATAAAAAACGTATATATATATATATATATATACATTTTGAACTTTTACGCAGTTACTAACTTGTACAGTCATTTATCTTCATTAGGCGATAACAGTATTCTTTCGTTTCGTCTAATTTGCTAATATCACACAGCGTCATTGTGGGACATAATTATTCATGTATATGAAAGAGAATAAAGAATTTTTTGGGTCGGAAATTACTGAAGAATCTATGAAATATCTATACTCAAAATCTTTTATTAATAATATGAAACTAAATAGATATCATTTGTTTTTTTTATTAGAAAGTCTATTTTTATCTACCTTAGTTCAATGATAAAATTATATAATTTGAGACTTCGTTGCAGCCAAATTTAACTTTGTTTGATAAGACAAAGCTTGTTTTAGTATGAAAATTGAAACTTCTAATATGTTGTGATGAAGAAAATTAAAAAAAACTCAAATAACAGTAACATTCTTAATTGTTTCGTCATAGTCACATCTCGTATCTTATTTAAATAAAGTAGTATGTAAACTAAAAAGACCATATTCATGCTCAATTTATCTTAAATTAATATTTGAGAAATTATTTTAGGTCAATAAGTAGACTTCTACTGAATCTTACTAAATTCGCCTCAGCTAATTTTAAGGTGAAGATAAAAATTAAAATGATAATAGACTCAATTACTTTTGTTCTGTTTTTTCTGTCTCTCTCTCGTTCTTATGACCTAATGCTGTACATGTTTTATGAATAAAATTTTTACATTAATTTTGTTTTCAGTATAATGTGACAAGAACTTGTCGTAAGATATTCAATTTTTCAGCTTTTTCTAATGAATCAATTTGAGTTTAAATAAATCTTGTACAGACTCACATTATATAACAATTCATTTCGGATTGTAGGGAGAAAATCAAGTTTTTTTTTCAATAAAATCTATAGTTTTTTTTGTTTTGTAATTTGAATACTTTGACAATATTAGAAAGTTTACGTCATATACATCACTGATTTTTGTGTGACATTGTCGAACATTCTTTTTTTGTCTCTAGTTATCAAATATTTCTAAGTATCGATATCAACAATGTGTAAGCAAGGGCATTGATTATATCAATTATTGAATTTATCTATAATTATCATATTATTCAATTATTAAATATGATATTTCATATTCATGGACATTGAGTAGACGAAATAGAAATTTTTGACATTGAAATAATATTTTATGAAAAACAATATTATTCTGTATATATACATTTAAAAATGTAAATAATTAATTAATTAATGGCTATATCTAATTCTATATTATTATGAAAGAAACAAGAAAAAAAAGAAAAGTGAGCTTTAAAAAGAAATCAATGTTTGACTAGAATTAAATATCTTATAATTCAGTTTTTATAGTTGATGGATTTGTTGAATTAGTTGTTGTTGTTGTTGTTGTTGTTGTTTGTTTAGTTTTTGATATATTTTTAATTTTATTTAATCGTGTTTTAATTTTTGTATGAATTCTTGATTTTGGTTTTTTATTTAATGCATTTCGATGTTCAATTTTTGTTATTTCTGTATATTCTTCAATTTCTTCTTCTGTATTACCTATTAATGATATGTATACATATAATATTGATCGAAAAAAATCGATGTCTATATTTACCTGCATGACATTCTTCACTACAATCTTCCTTACGGCTGACTGGACATTTCATACGTTGCATACATTTATCATAAGATAAAAATTCATGTGCTTTTGGTGATGAATAAACTGAATGAATAATAAAGCATATATATATATATATATTTGTCATTGTTTATTATTTGATATATAAATCTTACCTTTAGATTTATCTATTTTATCCTGTTTGTCTAATTCATTAGTTTGACGAGCAGCTTGAGTTTTTTCTATCGTTTCACAATTAATACGTTGACATTTACAAAATATAAACACCAAGAATAGAAATAAACATCGTTCTGTTATATCTACCTAAATATAAAGACCTGACAATTATAAAAGTATTATGTACATGACAATATGAAAATTTCCTATTTTTCTCTTCTTTTTTTTTTTTTTTTTTTTTTTTTCTTCTATGATATTTATTATGTCTATTTTTGTATGAAGACAAGTTGAATGAATAATCATATGGACATCTGGACGTTTCAAAGCGAAACGCAAAACAGATTAACGACATGTGCAATACATCACACAGGTGCATAGAGGTGCTTACACACGTTGTATATACCTTTTTTTAGTGTCTCTCTCTCTCTCTTTTTACTCATATTCGACTGTTGTTGAACAACATCGCCCATCCACCCGTGAGTTTGAAATGAATGATAATGGTAAAATAATACGTTGTGTTCTCTTTTTTTTTTTTTTCTTCTCTCCTATTCTTCGTTAAAATATCTCACAAAAGAAGCGTATCGTACGTTTACCATGAAAACAATCGAAATAGACGAATACTATTAAAAGTCGACACACAAAAAAATGATTGAAAGAAGAAGTATTATCGAATAAAGATAGACCGATTTGTACAATCAGAAGAAAAAAAAAAAATAGAATCGTGTCTTTCTTGTGATTATAGATTTAAAAAAAAACATGGGTAACAAAGATTATTATGCTATATTAGGTGTTAATCGATTGGCTGGTGATGATGAAATAAAACGTGCCTATAAACAAAAAGCACTTAGACATCATCCAGACAAAAATCATGGTGATGTTGAAGCTGAAAAAAAATTTATGGATATTAGTGAAGCATATGAAATATTATCCAATCCATATAAACGTTCATTATATGATCGTTTTGGTAGTGAAGAATTACGAAATTATTTAGGTACTGATCCACGTACACATTTTCCTTCATCCGGTTCATATTATTCAGATTATGGAACGGATTTAAATAATGATTATACATATGATGCATATAATAATTATTTTGTACGTTATAAAGATCCATCAACATTTTATGATTTATATGTTACATTAGAAGAAGTTAATAAAGGTGCAACAAGAAAAATGAAAATAACACGTAAAAGATTTAATATTGAATTAAATACAACTGTAAGTGATGAAAAATTACTTGAAATTCAAATAAAACCTGGTTGGAAAGAAGGTTTGAAATAATTTTATTTAAAAATTTTTATTTATTTATTTTTTTATTAATAGGAACTAAAATAACATTTGAAGGTGAAGGTGATGAATGTGATCAAAATACTATAGCAGGTGATATTGTATTTATTATACGTGATAAACCACATCCAACATTTGAACGATCAAATTCAGATTTAATTTATCATATTAAATTAACATTAAAACAAGCATTACTTGGTACATCAATTGTTATACCATTTCTTGATCCAAATAAAATACCATATCAATATTATTCTCATCAAGAAATAATAACACCACAAACAGAAAAACGTTTTTTAAATGAAGGTTTACCGTATCCAAAAGATCCAACAAGACGTGGTGATCTTATTGTTAAATTTGATATTCTATTTCCAAAAATACTTAATCATGAACAACGTACTATTGTTGATTGTTGTTTTTCAAATTCAATTGATACTTATCAACCATATAATTCTGTATTTCATAGTACAATTATTGATGAAACACAATTAAAACAATCATATTCACAAACTCGTATATCACCAACACAAATATCACCATCACAACAACAACCACAAGTATCAACAATGCAAAATCAGTCAATTCCTAATTTAAATTCAACAACAACAATTAATAATAAACCTCAATCTACATCTACTAATACGAGTAATAATAATAATAATAATATTCATCCTCAAACAGTTTTAAATCGTAATGGACATCAAAAATCATCAAATGGTCCAAGTAAAACTCGTACTAAAACTACTAAAAAATCATCTCTTGATGCTTCATCATCAATATCACCATCAGTTTCACCTAAAACATCAACAGCTAATGAGATTGTTTTTTGATCTTTGCTATTGTCATCAATTATAACGTTTGTCCTTTTTCTTTTTCTTTTTTTTTTTCTTCTTTCTAATACAAATCGAGTTTTAATTGTTCTTACATAATGCTGTATTAATAATTATTAAAAGTAGCAAACTCATTTTTCAATAAAAAGAAAACTAAAATTTATGTCTATATAGAATTATTTTATTGTTAAAAATTATATCGATCAATAAACAAATTTCGATTTTACTACTTGTCAATATAATTAAATCAGTTATATAAACTCATGCATATATGTATATATATTCTTACCATTGTTGTGTATATGTTACGTTAGTTGGAAGTAACAGAAGAATGGATATATAATCAGTGTCTCGACTTTTCTTCCTTAGAGAGAACGAGTAATAAGATTCATAAGAAATAAATATCTGATAGATAGATAAACATAGATTCTCGATAGGCACCAAACGAGAAAAATAAATGTACAATGACATTGTATAGATAATCACAAGAAAATAATAATACATATGAATAATATTAAATATTACACAAAATGAAAAATATAATTTTAAGAAGTTTTCGATTCATTTTTTTTTTTGCTAAATTAAGCCAATTATTAACGACATCTATTATGAATAGAAAAGGATCAAAATATTCTCTAATGGCTAAAACTTAGTTGTAACACTAAATAAGGAAAAAAAAAAAATAAAACGTTTGTTTTTTTGCATATTGACAAAATCATTTCTTGTCGTGCATCAATTGATCAAAATATGGTTGAAATACAAACTAATCGATCAATTGATATATCAAATACTATCAATACAGCAATTATGAATTGGTCACCTGATGGAAAAAATCAATTGTAATAAAAACAAAGATTCTTTGTATTATTATTATGTTTTGTTTTTTTTGTAGTAATGAACTTTATAAACAATTACTTAATGATGATAAAGATAAATTTGAAGCTGAATTAGGTAAAATTTGTATTTTTTTTTGTTTAATAAATAAAACATTTTTTTTTTTTTTGTTTTTAGCAATAAAACAATTACTTGTTTCTTTATGTAAATCATGTTTACAAGGTAGTCAATCAGTAGAAACAGTTATTCGAATATTTGGTGAACTTCAAGTAATATATATTAAGTAAATAGTTTTTGCATAAATTTATTTATTTATTTAGGAAATTGTTTCATGTTCATCAATAATCGGAGATCTTCTTGCCGATATTTTTGCTACTCTTGGTTAGTTTTTTTTTGTTTATATTGTTTTAAATAAAACAAAAAAATTTTAATTTAGATGTTGAATTATTTCCAAATGATGATACAATTACCAAAGATACATATAAACAAAGATTTTTTCAACTTATTAATAATTCTGAAGTAAGAATTAAATACAAAAAGATTAAAAAATATATAATAAATAATTTTATAAAACATAAGGATGATTTATTTAAATATAAAGACAGTGAAGATAAGTTTTTTTTTTTGTTTTGCATATAAAACATCTGAGACTATCATTACAATTATGAGTTATGAAATTCAATTTATTTTTTTGTATAACGTTTGTTGAGTATAATAAATTTTTTTTGTTGAAATGAAACTTATGATTGTAAATTTGTCTCTATGATGAAAAAGATGTTATACAAGATAATTAACAATAGGTTGTTTTCGGTTTCTTACTGTTGAAAAATGGAGTTGTCGATTTTTGGAACTTTATTCTTGAGCATACTATCTACTTTAAAAACATGTTTTTACAGATTATGACAAAGAAGTATATTTGAAAGTATCAAATACAAATTGATTTTTTATTTTGTGTTATGCCTTTAGGGAAATAATAGAAGAAAAAGTTCAAGTCGAAAGATATGCCAAATTTACAAAGGTTTCATTTTTTTTTCGTCATGTGTTTAATTTGCCTAGTTTTCTTGATTGAAGTTCTGAAATTAGAGTTTAAATATGATTTTGTAGAGAATTTCACGGTGCTTCTAATTAAAAATGAATTCGTTGTAAGGAATAGGACATAAAGCAAAATTATTGAGGCCGAGTTTATGATCAATTTTTCTTTTTTATGGAATATATTTCTAAGCCTATAACTTCCTTACTAGATGAACTAGCGACGTCAGTCAATTGTAATTTCGTAGAGGGTTTTTTGCTGTATATTTTCCTTGTAGAGACAAATTTATAATCACTTATTTTCCTTCCGAAACATCTATTATATAAATCGAGTCAGCACTTCTAATCCATCCTTTATGTTCAAGAAAAAAAAAAAATTCTTTTATTTTGACAGCGGAGAAATTTTTCATTTTAGCGATAGATTCTACTGTAATCTGAATCTTGACATACATTCATAATACAAACAGTACTTTAGATTTCATCATCTTATAAATGATGAGTTAAATTTTTTTTCTTTTCCTATTCAAAAAAAAAAGATTATTCTATCATCTTAACTTCAGATTCAAGAAAAAAAAAAGAGTGTATTCTTTCAGTCGATAGAATTATCATATGTAATTGTACATTCTATTTTTAGCATATTGTTTCAACAACATTATTAATGGAACGTCTTGAAATTGAAACATTAGAATATCTTGATTTAATTGTTAGTCGTGAACAATTTAGTCAAAAATATGTACGAATTAAAACTCGTCTTTAGTAAGTTAATTGTTCTCTTCCAAAAAAAAAAAAAAACAAAGATTCTTGAAAGTTAATCTACTATTGTTTTATAGTTATAAACAACAAAAATTTAATTTATTACGTGAAGAAAGTGAAGGTTTTGCTAAAACATTAACTGAATTAAATCAAAATTTTTCAATAACAAAATTAACATCCGAACAATTATATGATCGTTTAATGGCATTAATTGGTTATTTTGATATAGATCCTAATCGTATGCTTGATTTAGTTATTGAATCATTTGAATATCATCTTGAATATACAAAAATTTATGTAAATTTATTAAATTTACTTCATTTTGATAAAATAACATTATGTCAATTAATTGGTTTTAAATTTCAACAATATCAAGTAGAGAAAACAAAAAAAAACATTCTTTACTTATTTTCATAAGTTTTTTTTGTTATTTTTAGTTACAAGATGAAACAGCTGATTCACTTTATTTATTAGCTGCTCAACTTATTTCAAATAATATAATTGAACTTGAAGATTTATTACCACATGTAAATAAGAACAAAAAAAAAAAAACAAATCATTGATATATGAAATATTGAATTGTATTTTTAGTTATATCCATTAATAACAGATTTTTCGGATAATTATATAAAAGAAATTGAACATGTACGTACATCAAAAAAAAGTTTAACATCATCAAAAGATTCAAATACAATAGTAAGAATTTTAATTTTTTTTTACAAACATTTCAAATTGAAAACTTTGTTATAATGAAAATGACTTGATTTTTTTTTTCTAGAAAACAAATAATCAATTATTACATTTTATTCAAGCATTATTATATGTTGGTGATTTAGAACATATATTAATTTTATTTAATAATT